TGTTGAACTTATAAATTTTTAAATGCTTTATATTGTGTTTAAAATTCAAAAAACAAAATTGAAAACAAAAAGTTTTAGAAGCACTTTCTGTGGACGATGGCTGGTCCAGACCCGTCGTACTCTTTCTTGGTGATCCACATGTTCTGGAAAGTGGACAATGAAGCAAGAATTGAGCCTCCAATCCAGACAGAGTACTTTCTCTCTGGTGGTGCAATGACCTTGATCTTCATTGTTGGTGGTGCAAGAGCAACCATCTCCTTCTCAAGTCTGTCATTGATGCATGGGTACATAGAGGTTCCACCAGACAAGACGATGTTTCCGTACAAGTCCTTTCTGATATCGACATCGCACTTCATGATTGAGTTGTAAGTAGTCTCGTGGATACCTGATGCTTCCATACCAAGGAATGATGGCTGGAAGAGTGTTTCTGGGCATCTGAATCTCTCATTGCCAATGGTGATGACTTGACCATCTGGAAGTTCGTACGACTTCTCGAGTTCTGATGATGAGGCAGCCTTTTGCATTTCTTCGTTGAAGTCAAGAGCAAAGTAACAGAGTATTTCTTTAATGTCTCTGACAATTTTTCTTTCAGCAGTTGTGGTGAATGAGTAACCTCTTTCAGTCAAGATCTTCATGAGGTAGTCGGTGAGATCTGATCAGCAAAATCAATTCTGAGAATGGCGTGTGGAGTGAGAATCCTTCATGGATTGGGACGCAGTGAGAGACACCGTCACCAGAATTTATGACAATAAAGTCGTTCTATCAATGGCGTACAATGAAAGAACGCCCCAATTCAACGTACATGGCTGGGACGTTGAAAGTCTTGAACATGATTTGTGTCATCTTTTCTCTGTTAGCCTTTGGGTTCATTGGGGCTTCGGTCAAGAGGACTGAATGCTCTTCTGGTGCAATTCTGAGCTCGTTGTAGAAAGTGTGGTGCCAGATCTTCTCCATATCGTCCCAGTTGTTGACAATGCCGTGCTCAATTGGGTACTTCAAAGTCAAGATACCTCTCTTTGATTGTGCTTCATCTCCAACATAAGTGTCCTTGTTGCCCATACCAACCATTACTGAGACTTGTTTTGGTCTTCCAACAATTGATGGGAAGACAGCTTGTGATGCGTCATCACCAGCTAAACCGGCCTTGCACATACCGGATCCATTATCTACAACAAGTCTTGTACTTCAGCTCCTTCTTCTCCTATTTGAATGTCTTCTTCTTTCAACTTTGTTGCTTATATATAAATTGGTTAAAATTTTTTGTTGAAGATATCGTTAGGCAGTTCTTTTAGTTCGCTTCAGTCTTTGGAGTTTTGATTTATTAACTTTTCAAATTCCAAGTAAACATTCTAATTTTAAATCAATTAAAAATTGTTAAAAAATAATATAAAACAAAAGTGTATAAAATGCAAGAGGTAGGGTTCGAACCCACGCCTTCGAAAAGACTCGTACCTGAAAAGAGCGCCTTGGACCACTCGGCCACTCTTGCTTCACTTTCAATTATAAAAAATATAATAAACTACAATAATTCATATGTTTTAAAATAATTAAACTACTGAATATAATTATAATATAAAATACAAAAATTAATAAAACTATCTTATTCATTTTAATCACTGGTTATTATAACGTCATCTAATGTTGTTAATTTTACTGATATAATACTTTTTTAGACTGAACATTGTTGCAAACAATATAATTTCATATTAAATATTGTTATGATACTATTTTCAAATTATAAATTAAACTGTTTTTCAAAACTCTGTACTGGGATGCCCCGATTTTTTAGACAAATAATTTCTAAATAATTTTTCCTTTGCTTAACCCTCATTTTTTGTTCAAAATATTTACTCGAAAAAAACAAAATAACGAACCTGACTTTTTTAAATTTTACTTGACAAACAAATCTTCCACCAAAAATTTACTTGAAAAATATAAAAAACAAACTTATGATTAAAATTTTGATTACCATAACACGATTTTTGCCAAAAAGATAAAACACAACTTTATAATTAAATGTCCATGTTTACAGAATCACCAAGGTGTGTTTCAGATAAAAATGAAAAGTATAAACAAGTAAAATAGGCATTCAGAGAAGATAAATAGGTTAAGACTTTACAATTGAAAAGTTTTTTTTAATTTTTGAACTGTTTATTTTATTTAAGACTCTTTTGATTAATAACCTTGATTGTTTAAATGTTTGTTTTATGTTATTGATGACTTTTTTAATTGTTGAAATGAACAAAAACTTATTATTAATTTAAGTGTTGTATCATTTGATGTAGTGGTGTCCTTCATCACATCATTTGTTTATTGTTATATTACGTTTATCTTATGTTTGTTAGAAATATGTTGTTTTACTCACGTTTAGTTACAAAATAAACCACTGACCAAATAACGAACCTGGAAAATCGGGGAAGATTTACCTAATATTTGTGTGATTTCCCGATTTTTTGTTCAATAATTGAAACTGTATTGATTTTTAAAGATTTTAAACTGTGTACCTTTGTTGGTTCAACAAACAGTAAAATAAAACAAATAAAAAATAGTAAATAACGGGAAACTGGGACAAAGGGTTTTTATAAATTTCGGAAACGGTACAGAGTTTTGGAAAACATTTTAATTGATTGATTTTTGTGAAACACATCGAGTTTAAAAAGTAGTGTCAACAAGTTTAATGATTTTGAAAAACAAAACTAAACGATAAAGGTTTAAATAAGACGTTGTAAATCAACGACAAATCATTTTAACAAGAAAAAACTTTGTTATTTTGTTTGATTTTACTGCACTTGGTAAATAATTGATAATTTTGAAAATTAATTAATTTAGTTTGTTTTACTATATTTATAATAAAAAATAAGTGGTCAATTTCCGAAATATTAAATGAATATTTGAATACACTTTTAACAGGAAGTGTTTTTAAGTGTTGAATTTAAAAAATAAACGAAATTATTAAACAATTTAAAAAACAATTATAATAGCATTAAATTAAATTCAATTGATCAAAAACACCAAATCTCAAGTTTATAAAATATAGTTAGTTTCACAACAATTCCTTATTTTTTCATAACAAGGAAAAAAATAGATTTCTGTTTCATAACAATTAGATTTGTACATTTTTTCAGCCC